AATGGTATTGAGTTTGAACGCGTCATCGATCATTTTTTGATTGATGGGAATACCAGTTCAGCATTTAAGCAATTTTGACATTTTACCATGGTAGTGATACATGGCAAAAAAAATTTATTTCTGCAAATCAATTTACGTGATATGTTTTTCACATTGTATTGGTTTTAGAAAAATATTTTTGCGCGAAAGTGCGTAAGTGACATATACATAAATCTTAGAGATATTCTTCAGAGATATCCCCGAATTAGCATATGAAATTCAGCATATAAAAACTTATTAAAATTTTTTACAATGCATAATGTGTAGTTTAATCTGCGACTTTTTTTATCTTTAAAATGTGAAAATCCATGCAACATCATAAGCTTTAGCAAATGTGATATATGTACATGTTGAAATATCATCATTTTTCTCTTGTAGTGTCAAAAACAAATTTATGCGCAACGCACATAAATCCGGTGTAATGTGTGCGAGATTCAATCACTATATTTTATTTGTAATGACAATTTGGCATGTACTCTCAGAATTTGACGAGTCTGCATTTGTCATATGATACATGTGATGGGGGATAAAAGGCCATCGCGATGACGAATCCAGATTGGGCGATTGCCATTTGCAATGATCCATATGAATACGCGTGCTTGTCGAGGTTTTAAGTCTGGCGAGATCGCCATATCGTAAAATTGTTCACATATAATTCTTCCAGAGATAGGCAAATACAGTGAAAAATAAATAACATGCAAGAATCATAAAAAATATTTGTAGATCACGAAAGATAAATTTACAAACCGCAACGTTTGCACACAAGTGCTTCATGTTTTTGTTGTACGATGATACTAAAAACATATAGTCGAGTTCATTTTATCTCGTCCGCGATCTTTTACTCGTCGAAACTGCATGAAATATTTTACACAAATAGCAATTGTTGTTTGATACACCCGCGCACACAAATGAATCATATTAAGCAAGTATGTAGTTTTTTAACTTTGAAGAATTAAACAGAACGATTTCATCTTTTTGCAGATTGTTGTAAGATGAATTGGCTTAATAATTTTCCGCGTTGTTCACTAGTACAAACTCAGCGCAGATTATATTTATCGATTACATTTCCGTGAAAGCTCGCCGGCGCCAAGCCGAAGTCTCTGCTAAGGCGCTTATCAGCATTGCGAAGCTTTGTTGCGGAAAGATTGCGGAGATACGAACAGGGGTAGAAAATATTTGAAAAATATATGCATTACGTATAAGTAAACCCGTGCGAGAGGATTTTGTTATCGTAGTCTGCGTTCAAGATGATAGTGCAGAATATGGAAAAATAGAATGTACAGAAATCCCATTGTTATTACAAATTGACTACAATACTTAAATTTTTATATTTTTATTTTACGTCATAAAATTTTTATTTATTTTATACACAAATAATTTTTGTATATATACATATAATATGAGCAATTATTCTTTTTTATTTTTTTAAAATTTATTTTTTGATGATCGCCTAGTTACACATTCAAAAAATGTCATCTAAAAATTTACATATATCGAGCTTCATATTTGATAAAAATTTGATGAAATATCAACAAAACGGCATTCCATTCGTCAATTGGCATTAAACATAAGGGTCTTAAAAATACTATCGAACAAATAAATTTTAATTAAGTAAAAATGTAGCAGAGATTAATTGATGTAACTTTCACGTTATTCTCAAATTATAACTATGAAAAAGAATATATTTTCAAACTCTGATATTAATTTATACTAGTTATTAGTTTTTGATTCTTCAATACGTTTCCCAAATTTTTACATGTGAGTTTTAATACCGTTACGATTTATATTGCAGTTATGAGTATCTTTCTTTGTTTCCTAAAGATTTTTTTATTTTTCAAGTTTTGTCTTAAAAGGTTTAAGATTTTTTTCTTATTCAGAAAGTGTCATATCGCGACGCGATTTATTGATGACACGACAGTTATTACCAACTTTCCCTACTTTTGCGGTGAAATGCTTTGTACTAAATAACATTTATGTAAAAAAGTAAGCACTCTTGCAGTTATGAACCTGCGCCAGTATCGCCTTGATGAAAGATCTCAAGCGAAAAGCAAAGTTTCATTTCTTCAATCTTAAGACGTTTAATATACAAAGTGAACTTTTTTATTTATTCTTTTAACCTCAATACAATGTTATTAGCCAATATTATTAATCATTTAATCCTTCTATTAAACTAATAGAAAACTTAGATAATGCGATTTTAATACATTTATATTTTGCGAAAAAACATTTAAAGTTCATATTGTTTATTATCTTTTATACGAATCATTAATCTTGTTTCTTACTTTTGAAATTAAAGGTAAATTATTATATAGCATATGTAATCTTTATCTATAAATCAAAATTTAATTAATTTTAGTGAATGTTTAATTAGGAAGAATACATTTGTAAATAATTAATATATTTACAATTAATAAATTTATAATTAATAATTCTTATCTATACATACGTACTAGTAAATACATATTTGAATTACTCGTTATTGTTTATTTGCAAATATATTGCTCAACAATAATATACAATACGTATCATATATTCTGCCAAATAATGATCTTTATGCAAACTATATATTTTCGCTCGTTTGTTTGCTAAATCTAGAAATTCTTGGAAAATCTATACATCAATATGAATAATATTGAACGCTTTGATATGGAGATGTGCAGTGACAAAGTGGTAAAAGAAAAAAAATAACTAAGTTTTGTGCACCAACTTTGATATTTTCACTGTGCAGTTTGAATATTTGTAAACAATATTTGTGTTATTTGTATACTTTTGTGCAAGCCGTTGTCGCAAGTCGTGGGCGCAACTGAAATTTTCCGTTTAATATAAATATTCAAAAACTCGTATATATTTTCTCACGTTTATTTTGATGCGCAGTTTATTTTTAGAAATGAAAATATCTATAACGTTTGATTATACTTTCATATTCCGAGCACGAGCAAGTAAATGCCGTAAAACAAATAAGCATATCGAATATGCCCCTCGTTGCATCCGATAGGAAATAAAATATATCAGGGTTAAAGATTATCCGATATTTTATTTGCATCGGATTGAAGATGCTTTGCCGATAACACGTTCTAGTAATGTGTTTTATTATTATACTTTTTCTGTATTTTTTAATAACACGTCTTTCGTATCATTAACTGAAGACTAATATTGTCGGATATTAAAAATACCAAACAGCTCAATAAAATGCATTTATAGGTAAATGATTGACGTCGATAAAACCAATCAGTTGCACATGCCGAAGATTTCGTTAGAAAATATTTCTTTCTATCATGAATAATTTCATGTGATAAAATTAGATTGATCACTATACGATATCCGTAAAGATCTCTTTAAAGGCCTACTTTATCAATGATCAATCGCTTGCCCTCATTGAATACGTAGTAGGAAATGGTTTCAGACGTCCGTCACATTCACGAACGTGACCGACATTTTTCTTCATTCTAGGAGAATGATGACAATGCACGCGTGACGAATCGCTAGCAGCCGGCGCAGCCGAAAAAAAGACGCTGTTGGCATTTTTCCGCTGCGCTCGTTTCGTAGCCACCAGCACAAAATATGCAAAAATGGTTCGGCAAATAGATGCACGCAGGACATACTAGACTCTTGAATCTTCTGCTCCTGTTGCCTCTCTTATCATTCTCTGTTTTTATTTATTAACTCGAGCCGGATATTTTTACTCGCGCGCGAACCTGCACGAGACATCGTAAAAGTTGCAAGAAATATTACATGGAGCAGACACGCAATGTTATATTTTACCTCGTATCTGATTTGAAAAATTGTTCAGCTAAATCTATAGATGCTATAGCTATAATGCCTGTGCATTATATCTAAATAATGTATTAGCCGCGCGAGATCGTAGACGGATGAGAAATTACTATACCGGAAACAATTAGTTTGACGCGAGCAGGAATTTATATATACGCGTTTTCGACTTTATTCTTTTTCTCTTTTTTTTTTTGCGTCACGGCATCACGTACAATTTTCAGTTGGTGTAAGAAATAAGAAGAGAATTTTAAAAATTGCGATTCGAGATAAACGACGCTATGAATGAAAAAATCAAAAACTTATACAGTTAAAAGGTGCCGTTCATGGAATCATGTTCGCACGTTCGCGGATTCAACATTGTCGTACTGACAGAAAATTAAATAACAAAAAAAAAAGTAAAAATTTAATAACAATATTTACTTTTCGTGAGTTATAAACCGAGGCATGTCAGTTGACAACTCGCCAAGAATTTCAATTTTGTGCGCGAGAATGTTGGTCAGGATTTATACAGCTCGATTATGTTCAATTACGACCAATTACAGAGCAATTTGATATTGCCATATTGTTGCTGTTAGCACTATTTCCGAACACGAATAACCAGTCGAGAGCCGTTACCACTAAGTACCATTACATTCTATGAAATATAGAAGCGAACTTCAAATCAATCGGCAAGCTCATCTATAAAAAAAGTTCTCTAATGTATTGGTTGCATGGATAACGAAGCACATCACATAGTATAAATTTTAGACGACAATAGCATCGGATATTTATAATAAAAAACTGTGTGTATATTTCTTTCAAAGAGATACTTATAAATATACATTTACACATGTGGTTATAAGCTTGCATTTTTACATGCATCTTTATGGAAGTATTATTCAGAATTTATGTTCGAAAATAATAACGTGCTGTATTTTATCAGAAAATTGAAAAACAGCTCGTAATTGTGCTATATAAACGTAGAGTTTTTAAAATTAATTTATGAATACTCCGAGCTTGTGAAATTGAACAATTTATTTTGCGAATTTTTAGTTTGCCATTTTTTATTATTTATGCGTATTTTATGCCATAAAGATTCTTAAGGGTATCTTGTATGAAAAGCAAGATAACGAATGCGCCATCCAATATTTGTGAAGGATGCGAGCACATTCTTCATCGAGCTAAAGTCGAGTAGAGCACAAGAGACTTACCAGGTTCAATAGATAAACGTTTGTCACTGTGCGCATCCTTTTGTTCCTTGCCAGAGTGATGAGTACCAAAGAATTTCCGACGATGGAAAGAAAGAAGATTATGCCGTACAGCGGTATAATCAAATTTTCCAAGAGGTCATTCTGACCGGACGATTGTAGGTTGATGGGCGGGGTGACATTGGCGATACCGGAAGTGACGGTGGAAAACCGGGGCAGAACGGTAACGATCGGCGACCCATCATCGGTTTCTGAAGCACCGAAATATTCCGTGGAAACCAGGTTATCGGACAGGTTGCGCCCTTGAATCGACATTTTCTTGTCACTCGCTCTTGCTCTTCGATCTTCGTTCCTCTCGTCAACTCACGCGCTTATATCGATGAAAGTGTCACGGATGTTACATCGCTCTGAGATATCACTTTTTGTTCCTTATATCTCGTTACAAAATTATATCCATGCATGTATGCTCTCCTCGCTACTCATTAGTTGTCTAACATTGTTTTAATTGAGAACTGTGTTACGAAATTGCAAATTTTTGTTCACGCTTTGAAGATTTTGCGAGAAATTTATTTGTTATTATTGATTACTCCAATTCATTATTGCAGCATTTCTTTGCGCATTATTGAACATGTTATTAGAGCGTGTTAGCTAAATGGAGTTTAAAATAAATAGGAAGTATTGTAACGATAAATTTCGTAGTTCGAACTTTCTACGTTGTTGCGTAGGTAAATTTCAGTCCTCTGAAGCTTGCGATGGAATTTCTCAATGAATATCTGTAAAAAGAACAAAGTATAAATTAATAAACATCAAGCAATAATCCTGTGAGTAATATGACATAATGGAGAGGAATATATATGTGCATATATTTGAATATTCAATTCTATGAACGGTATTTTTAGTCTTATTGGTTTAATGTAATGTAATGCAGATTCTTCTTAACGCAATTTTATATCATTTCTTTTATCTACTTTTAAATCTAACAGTGTAAATTTTTTTATTAAAATCTAAATAAAAAAACAGATATTTATGTTAATTACACAGTAAAAATAAGTTATTTTAAAAAATTATAAAATATTTAAGTGAACGAAAGAGAAATGCTCTTTTATGCTTAAATATAATGGCGGTGCAACGAACACCAACGTATTTGTTAATCTTATTTATATGGTAATGATTCTTTCGTTAAAAATTCCACAAAACATAAGTTACGAGTAGTACATGCCCCATTAATTATCCGCCGTTGATTTGTATCGTGCGTATTGTCAGATGGTATTACTTTTTCTCGCAAATAGATCACAGAAAACATGATGCGTTCCATTTTATTAAAAATGTCGGGTATTGCACAGTTCTCTTTCCGAGTTGTAGTTTTCGCAGTCTTTATTTTCTCCGTAAAGAGATCAACAGCAAAACTAATGTCCATTTTCGCAAAATTCTCGAAAGTTATTGCATTCTCTGTTCGTCACGATTTCTACTATTCTTGCTTCATATTATCAGTAAAACACAGGACGTATGCATATATGAAATTTGTCTAGTTTGTGTTAATTGTATTTAAAACTTGTTTGTGCAACTCTAATCCTGTTAGGAAGCTATTATATTCACACATATTTTAACTTCGTAAAAAAAATATAAAAAAACAAATTATATCGAATTACACGAACACCACATTCGTATCTTAAGCAATTACGAATTTTTTATTTACTTTTTTTTACGAGTTTTTTACGAATCTTTACACCTAACAACTGGGTAGCAGCGCTGCTTTTGCAATAAAAAAGTTTCACGTTATCTGGTCTTAGAGTTCTTCCACTGTTTTGCTGTTCTCTCACGTCTGTCCTTCCCGCAACATAAGAAATATGGTGCTTATCGTAGGTAACTCTTTTTCTCACTCGTGCAATTTTCCACCATATTACTGGTAGTATCCTAGTCGATGAAGCATATTCGTCGAGAGAAAAGAACCATTACGATCGCGACGCACATCCTTTACTATACTGATTATGGGAATTTATCATTTGTTGTTTCAAGACATTGAAGATCTACGTAAAGAATTAGAGAGTGAAAAGAATGCACAGATGTATAAGTACAGTTTTTAAATTAATAAAGCCATTTGGTTTTTAAATGAATTAACGAATAATTAAATTACTAATTTACCTAGCATGTAGAATTTACTAGTGAAAATTTATTATGATTATAACTATAATATTATTTTTATTTTTAATAATTTACTTTTATAATTATAATGCAGTTCTCTAATATTTCACGTAAGGTAGAAATATGCATCAACTGTGAGTCTTTTTTATTACATTGAAACATTGACATAAAAAATTATGAAAAGTTGAAAAACACTTAAAACTAGAATTTCAAGTTTTGCAAGCAGATTTAAAATGCCTAATGTAATTGAGAAAAGATTCTAGTTTCAAATAATTTCAAATCTTCTCATTAACAAACAATCCGCTAGAATCAGCACAATTTCCTGGAGCATTTCTCTTTAGCTCTTTAGTTCTTGATGCTACACCGTGAACTTGTGTGATCTATGATGCGAATTTAGCAGTCTATGTTCTCTTAATTGTTTTTGCATCACTTTATGAATTCCAGCTTTATTTGCAGAACTGAATTTCAGATGTTTCTTTGATCCATGAAATTACGTAATATTGTTAACAGCGTTTGAGTAATTTAAAAAAAAAAAATTGTAGTGAAATAAATATATACATAAAAGTTTGAAATATAGAAATTTATATTAAATTTATATTAAATTCTTAATTTTTGACAACATACGAGAGACATCCGATAATGTGATACACACGTACATATACATTCACGTACATCTCACTCTTCAGGATTATATCGGAGCATAATGTCCTGGAAATTAAAAAGTAAACTGCCTACATTCCGGCTGGTTAAAATTCCGTTCGCGAGTAGTCCGTTCCGATTTTCGTTCTACATCTCCGCTGCAGTTTCACTTACGTATTGCAATATGCAACGGTGCGACGTGCCGTGGATATTTGATACATCATGTGTAGTTATCACCGTAAATGTTCGGGTATCAATCATATTTTACGCAATCGAATTTGAAAATTATGAATACGATGTTTACGCTGTGTAAATGTTCGACAAAATTCCCGAATCATATCCAAGAAAAAATATCGATATCAAGAACAAGCGTTTCCATGATGTTTGACCTAATAATTTTCTGAAATTCTCTGACAGCTATTATTATACATATTCACGGTGATATTAGCACGATAGCCTCGCCAAGTGCAATAACGAATCTGTCGTTTCGTGACGATAAAATTGCGAATGGAATTTGCTCGAGATTCCTACATCGTTTTCAGCAATCAATTTACGATGCTTATCATAACGATGCGACACTTTTAACGATTTACAAGTCTCATTCACTTACGTTAATGATTATCTGTGCGGCATAGATTTGAACGATAATTAAGCAATGTATAATTTGATGCAAATAATCTTTTGTTCAGCGTATAAATTTACACAATCAGTATTTGCAGTATTTGGTCCAATTATCGCATTTATTTGTCCCGCACTAATTATTTTCGAGGATGTGCAAAATGTTTCACCGAAAAATCATTGTTGTAAGACCGCTGAGCTTTACGCATTTATTAATTAATATTCCCTCTTGTTGTTTGCCCACAAATCGTTTATTTACATATATTGAACAAACGCACGCATACGCCGTCGAACTGGCCGTCGCGATAAATTCACGTGACAATTTTTCAGTGGGTTTCCTGCGAGCGGAGTTTCACACGATCGATTTTAGCATTCAGGCCACCCTACGGTAACACGCAGGAGCGAATCTCTAATTGGAGTATTACGGCACGGAGTCGAAGAAGATTCGCGGGGATTGATAAATTTTCGGCTTGAATGCTCGACTGGGGTTAACCGAAGTCCCGAGGGTTGGCTGGGAAGGCCATTTCGCGAGCTAACACGTTAAAGTGTTAACGCGTTCGCCTGAGACAGTTTCCACAATTGCTGCTACCGCGTGTGCGAACGGCTGTGAGACGCCCCCATTCCCATTTATACACTTCAACACTTCTCTAGGAGCGGTGTGCGGCGAAAATAAATTTCTGAACCATTGGAATACCAGGAGTTCGAGATAATGTACACTTAAACGAGCGGATATATGCTTGTTTTTACGTGATGTACCACTAACGTCGCGGCGTAAACGGCAAATGACGTGTCGCGTGAATAACGCGAGCGGAGCGTTTTCCATTGAATTTATAATTTGCGATGTGCTGAACTGTACAGATTGTTCTATCAACCGCAGGTAACGGGAAAAGAAAAACTAAGAAAAATCTCATGCCTTCCATTAAGTTTTCTCCGAGGAAAAGTAGACACCAATTTTATCATAGAATCTGCGACTCAGGGGACACCTGGTGTTTCTAGGACACCTTGCATTAAAAAACTGAGAGTTCTCTTAATAAATGAAAGCACTTACAACGTGCTATTTATTAAACGTTCTCCTCAGCTTGTTTTATTCTAGGAAATATCCATGAGCATTTTTTTTGAAGTTTTCAAATTCCCAAAGTAACGTATCTGCGAAATTTTAGTGTGCTTTGTGGAGTGGCGGGAATCCCAAGAGAAGGGAAAAGTTCGTACGAGCATACATATGAGGGAAATACTGTAGGGACACATTTCATCTCGTCCCAGGCCGTCGGATGGGACCGAATGGTGGACGCGCGGAAGACGTAAACAATGTAGCGCGTCAGTTTATTAATGCAGTGTTGCAATAAATGTTCGAAGATACTTCCTGTCATTTGTATGCGCGCTTCACTCCGCCACTTCGTCAGGTAGATCGTCCGAATGGGTCGGGTCGGGTTGCACCGCGAGAGAGAAATGTTACATGTTACGTATTTCACAGTCATCACAAAATCATGGTAGAACTGCGGAGCAAGTGCTGATGTTTAGAGGAAGAAAAGGAAGGATGCGCGGAAGCGCTTTACACAGCTCTTTTCTCAATCTCTCGTGACTCGACTCTTGCATTTGACGGTCTGCAAGAAATAGGAATGTGTACATCTACAACGTTGTTCTTTCTGATATGCATTTTTATGAACTCTTTCCTTTATTTCGATTTCTCGATAAAAAATACGGTCAGAGGAAATGTGGAATCTGCTGAATAAATTACTGATAAAAATTTTAATAAATTGCTTATAAAAAATTTATGTGTTTTCAGAAATATGATCAAATTTATAGAAATATAATTGCGTATTATAATTTTATCAATTGAAAATTACTACCTTATTGTAGATATGTTTCGTATATCATTACTATTATTCGATGTCGTTCAACTGAATGAATTCGAAACCCACGGCGACGTTTGTAATACAACGGTACGTCGATTGTTCGTGGATTTCTGCTATCTCGGATAGAATTTCAGTATTAATCGCGAGCCGGATTGATCCGTTCATTCGTCCCACACTCGTGTAAAATACTTTGTTGCGTTAGTTCTAGGATTTAGCGTTGCTCAATTAACTTTCCTGTCATGCGGGCGGTATTGAGCTGACACTGCAAATAGTCGGCGGATTCATTGAACAAAGCATGTGTCCGACATGCAAAATGTTATAGCAACAGTACATATTTTAGGGTACATATTTTAAAGTATAATATTCTATTAATCTTCATAAAAGATGGAGGGCTGTAGCGTAAATTTGCCTGACTTCTCTTAGGGCTTGTCTCGAACAGCTAAAGTTTCCTTTTAATATTTTACAACGTAATTTCTTTTTACGTGATAGCGCAAGTTTATCTGTTTTTTTTTGTATTCTTTAAAAATTATCATAATTTATATTAAAGCAATTAATAAATTTCAAATATTCGCAAAGTATGCTGTGCTCGATGTTCAATGTTAATTTGCATGAAATGCGTGGAGTACAACATTAAATGCAGCTTTGATGCGGCTTTAAATCGACTTTGATGATACCAAAATATTGTTAAGCTTGTCATTATGAGCTTTATCGACTACGTATCGACTATGTATTATATATGCAAGGTTAATTTTTTCCGTACAAACACCATTTTCTCACCCTATTAATCAGTATTCAAATGCGATCTCAATAGCTCGCGGTAAACACTGTTACTTTCTCATAAGGATAAACTTTCACGGACGATCGAGCATTATGTGTCAAGGATATTGACTGATCATTAAACAACAGCTAAATTAAAATCCTTCGCTTTAAGGCTAAATGTTAACACAATTAGTAACAGTACGTTTAGTAAGCGTAATCGTATTGACTGCGATGCATTTTTGATTTAATTCATTATCAAGCAATTTTCTCGGATTATGGCTGATCATTAGATTAATGATAATTAATTTTTTATGCATTGCCCTTTTTATAATAACTCCACTTTCTTTTGATAGGTCGATAAGCGACCATAAATCATATTAAAGTCACAGACAGATCGGTACAACGACTGATAAGCTTAACGAATAGTAAATCGCGTTTTCAGCAATCCCAAGGCATCAATCAGTCTCTAATACTTTTTCCAATCTGATCTCCCTGTCTCTCATAAGCTCCTCCGAGTAACTTCGTATGCAGACGCAGTTTATCAGAGAGACGAAAATGTATATATATAGCTATATAATAATCATTTAATACATCAATCATTCGTGATATTCTGCTTTGACTTTTCTTCTCTTTTTTTTTGCGGATTTGATTGGCGCGCTCATAAAGACTGCCGCATAAAAATTGATATAAAAGCGTATATGCATAGTAAATGAACGATTCGTCGATACATGCTTAATAGAGTCATTAAATTATATGTTCCAATTTGCATTAAGTGTTTTAATGATCAATGTACTTTTATATTACGCTTATTCACTTCGATAATTTGTATACGGTATAGTTCTTATATGAAATTATTTTAATATGAATTGGATTCTAATATGAATTCTAATATGTACTAATGTGCCGAGTTCGCCATTGAGCATTACAAAGTGGTGGGCTCTTCAAGACTTAATCACTTCCTATGCACGGTAATCATGCATGATTAGCGTACATGGCATTACGGACACCATACATGGAAATAGGAAGCTATTACATATAAATTGCATTTCTATGCCATTGTATATTTGAAATTAATAACCATGAAAATCTATATAATGTATTTCGTTACATCAATATCTAACGATAGGTCAATAGATGATTTATGCGTTAGATTACTAAAATTATCGCATTACTAAAACTAATCTCGTGTTTTGCGATAACATTTCCACATTACAATTAAACAATTTCTAATTATTATTTGATAATATTGCAAACAATTCAATTATAACAATAATTTAGCACAGTTAACTTGAAGAATAAAATTTTTACGAAAAAATCAAATATAGAAACATGATTGGTTATATGAATTTTGTACACTCACCGATACCCGAATATCTGTGAAAGATTGACTAGCTGAATTGTTCGTAAAACGTTCACGCTCGTTCCTCGCTATCCCAGCAAATATAACATGCCGTTAAATACATAGATATTTTAATCCGTACAATTTCAAAACTTTTGCTGGTAGGTCATAATAACGTAACAATTTTAATATCATAATTTTGTTTTAGCTTTAGCATTTAACGAAAAAATTTTTGGATAAACTTTCTTTCAAATAAATATCTTATTTTCGTTGTACTTAGATTAATTTATGAGCTATACTTGCTAATCGAATAAAATTGAATAAAAAATGCAAATTTCCAACTATATGTTATTTTCGCGATAAGCTGTTCTTTCCGCAAAAAGAAAAGAGTATTAAGAGTTCATTGAAATGAGCTTACCATTTAGAGTCGTAAATTTGCGGTTACTTTGGAAGGAGAGTTTCTCTGTTATTTCCCATTTTGCATAACATCACAGTGACCAATGCCGTCGCCGATTCAGTTGATAGGAAACTAAAGAAGCTTAAATTGCATTTGCTTAGCTGCTCAGGGACGATTGTTAAAAGTTCGTTCGAGTTTCATTTTGGTTGGCTTTGTAAGTAGTAATGTAGCGTTTCCCTCCGACGTATCTTCCGTTAGTCCTGCTGCTCCGGAATAGTGTTGCTTCGAGTTTTATATGACAGCTTGCAAATGATTGCAGAGTTTTTGCTGTCGCAATAGCTGGTAAATTGTATAACTCAAATTTTACGTTTCATCACCTGACTTCTACAGGTCTGTGAAAACGAAATAGAACTTCTCATGTCGCGCATGTAAATGTCGTCCGCGTTGCTTATCACCTCCACGTTTCTTATACACGGTTCTTAGTCACGTTCCTTATCATCTCGTAATATTTACAATAATGCTTATAGTAATATTTAATTTATAGTTTTACACAAATTTTACGCGTATTTTAACTTACGCAATGTTAAGCGGTTTAATAGAACATGTAATAATAAAATATGAAGGATTTAATCTAAGTTTCATTATTACTTTTATAACTATGAAGGAATCATGATTATGAGGGAATCATCAAAGTGTTACGAAGTTTCACCAGAGTTTTATTGAAGTTACTCTGTAATTGTGCTTTTATATAGTATGTTAATTTTATATTGTTATTAGAGATTATTAATATTCTGTATTGTAGATTTATTGATAATACCGGAGTAAAATTTCCATTTTATTATTAAGTTTCACACAATTAAATATGACAATTAACATGCCACCATCAAAGTTTAATATGATATTTTTGCCGACAACGATTATTTCTGAAATTGCTACAAATTGTTCACTATTTCCGTCTCTAATTAATAAAGATCGACATATCTTTTACATTTTAAATATTTTTAGTTTGCAACTTTATAATTATATATTTTTTAAATTATCGTATGATTAAAAATTTATTTTCATTAACACATATGATAGCACAGTTGAAAAATTTAAAAGATTCACAGAGGCATTTAAATTTCCATGACAAAATTTATTTATATAATTTAAATCCAAATCGGGATTTGAATTTTTTAAAAGCACGTAAAAAATTAGTGATAATTAAAATATTAATCAATATTATTCGAAGAACGGCACGTTGATTAATGAGAGAATATATTATGTTTATTATCGATTTTGTAAAAAAGCGTTTTAAATTTACATCGCATTGAGACTAGCGGTTCGCGCGCTCGGTAGCTAGTAGTAACCGTCGGCGTGTGATACGGCAGCGACGCGTACGCGACGGATCTGCGCCGCTGACTGAAACCAGGCTGGCTCCGAACTGGGCACTGCACACCTCGCCGACTCCGTGGCCAATCGTGAACGAGCTGTCTTCATGTTCCTCGCGCTACCCTTATGCACGTATTAATCCTTATTTTATATCACAGTATAAAAAAATCGTTTCCTTCCCAATCGATCCCGTCGCGCGTCCATCGATTTATTAATTTTCGATCGACAGTAATTTCTTCTATTACACAGAAAATAACGCGCGGAACGTATTGCTCAGGCTGGTCACATATTTCGTTTTCTTCCCGCAGTTTTATCCGAACGGATAATTCCGTTCGAACTTCTACATGTGCTGACAATATTTTATGAACGACGGGGATTTCGCGCAGGTTTGTGTAATTCGAAACTCGCTTGCTAACATTATTAAAGCCGTGTTGAACTTTAAAATATAAGAAATACCGTACGAAATTAAAATTGGATATAAAATAGTGTCGCGACACTTTTGTATATGATGATGGGATTTATCGCTTAGATAGTAACGTTACATCCTTTCAGTATAATCTCACGCCACGTTCGCCGTCTTCCATCCAGTCTCCGGATCTGGAAGACTATATTTGAAGGGTACTATATCGTCGGATGCTATCAGCTGAGACATTTTTGTTGATGTGTGCAATAGAGTTTGCCCTGCTACTTGCAGAATATCGTCCCTCGTGCGAAAACGCCTACGTTATAGTCTTATGTAGCATTGTTTGAGCACCACTTGCTTCCTGAGAACCTCTCCATTGCGCCTGGCTATTCCTTAGCATTGTGTCTTTGAGCTATCTTCATTATTGTCTATGCACGTTGTTGGCTTGTAGTTGGATGATTTTGTTTGATGATATAACTTTACGATCTGGCATGATTGTATCCTAATGCCATGAGCTTGTACAACGGCACGTATCGTAGACCTAAAATAAATTCACTATTAACTCTGGACACGACTCTGGACGCTATCATGTTTGCACAGCATAAAGTGATAATATTACCATTATTTTGTATTGAATTCTTGTACATATTTACCTCTAACTTCTAAGAATTAAATTTTAGCGATTTTTAAATTTTAAATCTTAACGTATTTTTTGAAGCTATTTTGTGATTTTAAAAAATTAGAGAGTGATTTAACAAACAAAAGAATTTAGAGGAGCATTTACTTAGAAAAAAAGGAGATGCTCACTTAACAAATCTGTAAATAATGAAGAAATAAAAGAACGTTTATTTAAAGTTTTTTAAAGATATTCTCTGTGTGCTTTCATAAGTTTAAAATCTTCTTAGAATAGAATCTTTTTCGATCTCATCACATTTAAATTATGCTTAAAAACTTGATCTGCAGTAAACAGCTGTATTTATTTTACTTTATCTTCGATTTGTTAAAATCGATTTGTGAACTGATTTTAAGTACTTCTCCCATTTTATTTTTCTATATACTGTACGCTCTTGGATTTTTCGACTTATTTTATCAGATTGCCTTGTTGATACTTCATGTTGAGGTCGCATTTCATGATTGGCACTGACTAATAAACAAAGTGGAAAAAAGATGTAATGGTGCAGTCGCCCTCCTCGTGGCAACGCGAACGCGAAACTGTCACGGAAACTTCTCCTTCGCGAAGTAGATCGATGATAATTACTCGACACGTGCGTTAGATTGGACGCGAGCGGGTGGCATGGAATCTTGCAATTTTCTTCGTTCTTGTGTTCTCTTTTTGTTTGTCCCGTAGGGCGTCGGTACACGTGTGACTCTCATGAGACTACACAATAACACTAATGAAGGGCGTGCGTTTCGCGCTATCGATGCTCTATCCGTTACTGTTCGATAGCGTGAGAAACAAGATAAACGAATGCGAACAAATAGTCACCGGCGTCGTGTTCATTCGTTATCAGCGCCACAGTTAATGGGTTAACGTTAAATAAAATTATAAAGATCTCGGACCGAAGCGTGATTACGTCGTTTAAATAAACTACTCACAGATCGTTCTTCGAGCATTGTGCACTTTCTTATACGGTGATTAATCATTTTGTGTATGAAGGAGGAGTATATATATAACGAGAGAGAACGAAAGAGATGAGAGAGACTACGCATATATCGAACTTTGCGATGAAAATTTACAATTCAATACTGCAACGTCGAGTCTGCTATGAAAAATTGCGCTGCTGCAAATTATAAATTACAAGTACAGATTCGCGCACAAAACAGAGATGATAAAAAACCAAAACTTGCACACAATACGTAGGAGAATGATTAACACGCAACAGCGTTTTGTTTCGTTGTTGTTGCGACAGTAGATTTTGTCAAATAATAGCAATTTAGAATTATGTATGTAAATTAGAATGGTTTACATTGGTGTAAAGCTTGTTTTGTAGGTGTAAATTCCGATAACTTCCGCTTAAGCGCTCGATCGAATAGAAATTTGTAACTAATAGATTCGGTGAGTGTTTTGTTGCAAGTTTCGTTTCTAATCGTTGATTTCATTTGCTTGGTAAATGCCTCTCAGCGATTGCGAACACGATGTAATGTGTATCTCTAACTTTGACTTAATCCAAAACAAGCAAGTTGTGCGTCTAAGTTTGGCACGTCTGACGTTGTCACGAATTATGCATTCAAATATGCGCGCTGTAGTACACGTTAGAACATTGTATTACTTAAACCATTAATGTCATTATACATGATTGATTGAGATTAAATTTTACTTTGCCACATCAAAGATTTGAAATGCAAATAATCTTTTATCGCGGCTCTTAATTTTCCACCATTAGCTAAACCTCTCTTTTTTTTTAACACCCCGGATATATTCGGTTACTCTATCGTCGGCGATTCCGAATTATGCATATGGAATGAATTATTAGGCAGAATCTATTTTAAATTCTGCATAAATGCACCGTGAAAATCGCGTGAAATCGCTTTGATATTAAAGAATGTGTATATTAAATATTCCATCATGCCGTCTTGTTTTCGACTGAATTAACGCTACATGAAATACATGTAAATTTCGTGAGAACATTCAAGTAACATTGTCGGTGATTCACAGCATAGTAGCCTTGTACTAGATATACGTTATCATCTGAGGTATCTTTCTCCGCCACATCTGAGGCACGAGCTCAGGTGGAGGTTGCGTACAATTTTCTTAGTTCATTGTAAGACAGACCTTATACTGGATAAATAAATTTCTAAACGGTGATACGAAATTGTATTAGCGTGGCCTAAGGAAATAGACACTTTGTTCGAATATATATTTCTCTTTATTTTTAATATATAATTTTGTTGAATCTCGTTTAGAGCGAATATAAACTTATATTATTAATATTTTATGTTACAATATTTAAAGATACAGAAATATATATTTAAAAATAAAAATACTTATTTACTTATATATTTATAAATAAAACTATCAAATAGTACAAATTTTAAAAAATATACACATAAATTGGTAGAATATAATTCATTGATATTTGTATTTTTATTTTCATTTATATTGTACGGTGATCAATATTACATAATGATTAGAATACATTTAACGCGCTATTCACATTGATCTGTCACGTCGGATATATTTCCTATCCTTGTTGCGCCGTGCTATCTGGTCTCGAGTTTATATGACATAGGTTTCGCAAGAGGCTCACAGGAAATTGAAGCCTATCAGGTAGCGTATCATACGTCTAGCTTCTAACAGATCCTTTTTAACGGCTCTTTTATTGCCAGACGAGGCTCAGGTGGAACTTTCTCTTTTTTTGTTTCTTGCATTCCTACTTTTTTACATCTGGACAAGATCATCACTCATAGTCTGTAAAAACTTAGTAATCTAATTCAAAGTTGAGACGCATCCACTTCAATAAATTGAGTTTAATGCTCAACGCAATATTGCAAAAGATAATTAGCATTCAAGACGCACGCGCTGGATCAGGTAGATCAAAGAAAGTGTAACCTAAACTGGAGACTGCTTATATGCGCGCTATCGCACACTCAATAAGGCAAATCGATGATTACGCGAGAGTTAATTAACCTCAGCTCCGAGTTTGTCTAGAGAAACGCTGACACAAATCCGTGAACTTATCGTCACTAATTTCTAACTCTCTTCCTCCTTGAAACGAGATTCAATCGAGCGAATCGCATAGAGGAAGAAAAAGAGAGAGAGGGAGAGAGATTTCTTCGATGGATCGAAGCCCGCGGATGTAGCAGCCGCGCCTTCTTATCCGCTTCTGCTTTCAGCTGACGTCGTCGTTTCCGACGTAATCGCGACGCGCGTCATTATAGGTAGAGGACCATCGATCGTGATCGAAAATAGCAGCGCGGTTTTAACCTTTTTGAATCGATCACTTGTCAGAACCGCATAAGACGGTTTACAGTCAGCTAACAAGTTA